GGGGGAGTTGTTGAAGTTTCATGCAATTTCTGCTGGAAGTTAATGCAAATTATAAAAAGAAAATTCTCAAAAATGGCTCCAAATTATTCTTATAATTTTTTCCACATATAGGAGAATGGCACAGGTCCAATTTTCATTGAACTCTCAAAATTTTGGATAATTGTAAAAGATAGAAATATTGCAAGAAAGTTTGTACTGTTGTAACACCACTAGTTTCATAATGAAATCTCTTCTTCAAAATTGACACAATTTTGTTAAAACAAACACTCCAATTTTAAAAAAATTCCCCCCTTAAAAAGACCTTAATTGTATGGCATATATTTAACTTTCAGTAAATCCTCAGGAATGTCAGATATTGCTTCAGTTAAATTTTGTTTGAACTCATTCTACATCTTGAGTATTTAAGCTTGAATTGTTTTTCATAATGAACCTCCTCCTCACTATTAGGCCTTTAAAGCATTTCATCAATTCTTTTTTGAAAACATCAGTAGTTTTCATGTAATTGTGAGTTATATTATGGTATTTTTACATCTTATGTGTTAGAAACACTGAACATTAAGAATTAATTCATGCACTGAAATGTATAGATGAGTTGGATTTCACATTATTAATCTAAGACATGTATAAATACACGTCTGAACAAAAATTTGAACACTAGCACAAAGTTTTAAGAGGTGGTAATATGTATTTTGTTAGTGTATGTTAACTGTTGCAGCGTCAATATTTTCAAGTTAGTGACACATTAAAACCACATGTTACAGGGAAGCATATATACCAACATTTATATTTACTACTTATTAATTTAGTAAAGGATATGTTGAAAATGTGTTTATATTTTGTATTTTTTTACCAAGTGAAAAATTAAATCTAGCTTTTCTCCTCCCAAATATCTTTTATAGTTCTCACTCATTTGTATGTTAACTCCCCTTCCGGCCCAGTACTTTTTGTATCATGGTAAGGCACAATGTATCTGAGAGATACAGTGTATAGATGATTTTGTAGTATCAAGTTGTGACATATGATGTGTGATATATTTTATTTCACATTGTTGTATGACCTAGCTTTTTGTGTATCATTAAGAGGCATCCCCGAACTTTCAAGAGACTTACAGGAGAGAATTGTGAAAGTTTAGAGATCTGATAACTATACAAAAAATACTATGTCATTTTATTCATAGAAGGTATTCTACAAGTCTGATATGTAAGCTGTTTTAATACATTATGGATCTGACAACAGAAAATTCAAACAAACCAAAATATAATTTGGACAGAAATGTCAGCTAGGATATTGTCATTCTGAGGCTGTGATATATTATTATAAAATGTAATATCATAAAGAAGGCATTCATTTCTTTGTCTCTACAATACCTTTAAAATCAATATGGGTTCCATTGAAATTATTCTTATTTTGCATCCTCACCACTCAAATATAATATAAGGTTGGAGTATTTTCTGAATTTGACATAGAATGAACATGACATTTCTGACATGTCAATAATGTTCATTTTTAATCCATTTATGGAAAATAGAAGTACTTAATTTTTCACTTGCGCAACTAAGCATAATGAATCTCACAGATACAAAAAACATATCAGTACTTCCAAGTTTGTCATATTTTTTATTTTTGTCTTATTTCTTATATTTTTTTAATTTCCCATATTGTAGTTTTTTCTATTTTTTGAAAATAAAAATCACCAAATATAAATATCTTCATTAATTATTTCAATAGTGCTACCTAGTTATCAACAGCTATAGGCAAAATAAAATTCTGTTTTACTTAAACTAACGTTGAAATGATTCTGTCACCAAAAACAATTAACATCATTCTGGCTATTTGCAGATTTCATTATCATCAATTTTTGTCTATGCAGACAACAGTAAAGTACCCAGTGTGCTCAGTTGGTTGTAATATAACCACCAATGAGATTGCATGACAAATTTGAAAATCAGATACCATACAGTAAATACAAAAAAAATCATTGTAACATTTTTTAATATAATAGTAAGTAAAGAAATATATACTCTTCAAAAACCAGACCACCTAAAAGTTCGCAATATTTTTAATTTAAAATTTGTGAATTTCAAAGCTTGCTGAACACTATGTGATAAACCGGTTTACAAGCTTTGAGAGGAGATGATTTCCTTCATACAAAAATTGTTAAAATTGGATGGTTCTTTTAAATGTTAAATGCATTTTTTAATAGTGGATTTTATCTGTCTATATGTGATTTGTGTAAAGGTCAGATTCTGTTTCACTCAGTAATGAATAATGTATTGAATGGTCAAAAATAAATAGTTACAATACTTGCAATATTTGCCACCCACAAGCCACCCATAAAGAAATGAGACAATACTTTCAATATCACATATGTAATAAAACAGTGATATTTTCAGTCATTTTTGAAGCCTTCTGAGAGTAACGTACAGTCATTATTTGGTCACCTTTGTCATATATTTGGACTGTAATGAACACTTGCAGCATTGAAATATCTGAATAACACATTAGAATTTGAGTCATCTCTCAAGGTTGGAGGTTTTTGTGGTGCAGAAATCCATACTATGCCATGTGTTTGCTGCACATTAAAGTACCCTTGAATATATATAAATATTGATCTTTTTGCTGACTCAATTTCTGTGTTATATAACAGAGCACTTTCTTATACTACCAATATTACATAACTTCCTTTTTATACTATGTAACTTACTTTATATGTACTTACTTTATACTATGTAACTTATGTTGCAAATATCCTATAATGGGTTTATCCTGCAAGATTGTATTTAAAAATAAAATAAAATATTATTAGGATGTTTTGGACAAAAAAAAACCACATCAGAAATTGGACTGGTACTGCTAACTAGGAGTGGAAAATGCATTTGAGAATACACTAGCTCAGCAACTACCGCAATGTTAAACAATAGGGAAATGAAATCAGCCTATTTTGCTTGATGTTCCTTGAACAATAGTGATATATGTTCAATAATTTCACCTCCAGATGCCAAAGCCAGAATAAAAATTATTATTATATCTCTCAAATGGTAAACACAACAATGAATTTTAAGAAGGTAATAATATGAACAGTCACAATGTTGCCATATTGAAAATGTGATAAGAAAAAGATCTCTCAGGTATATTGTGCACGACAGTGAGTTAAGATATAACAAGTATTATCGTGAAAATCATAATATATAATAATTTGTTCCCATTGTCTTTGGATTTATACCATTATTTAAGCTTTATTGTTTCCTTTAGGGACTGGAGTGAAGGACGGGAAACAATTGCAAGTTTTAGTGAACAATCCACTCCAATGAGTGATGTCCCAAATTCAGAGGCAATATCCCCAATGTCAAATTTTCCCATTTCTACATCAAATGTCACTGAAAATGTAGGGCCTAAAGTTAACATTTTTGAGTATGCTATGAGAGAATGGCAAGGTCACACAAAGAAGGCAGAAACAATTCTGAAGGTATTGTTGATGTAATGTTCAAAACCATGTGAACTTTTGTTAATGGTTGATTATGAAGTTAAATTGGTGTTCCAAAAATTCTGAATCTTTTTCTTCTAACTGTGATCTTTCAGGGATATGCAGAAATTCCATCATTATTGGGTGTTCAATATTTACGAAGTATTCGAGGTGATAATTATTGTGGAGTTCGAGCTGCCTTATTTCAAGTATTATCAAAAGGATTACCACTCCCTAGTGGTAGTACTGTGTATGATTATTTATCTAACGCTTGTCGAATGGGAAACAGTAAATGGTTACAAAATTGGAATTTTGCTGGGAGACTCCCTTATGAAAGCAGTAACGTATTACATGGAATGAAATCTTGTCTGGAATCACTTGACAACATGGTAGGAAATAAAATATTAAATGCATTTGACTGTGAAAAAGAAATAGAGTTTGAAACTTAGTGTTACATACTGGTACTTACATTTTACTGTAATGTTCTTGCAGGTTTCTGTATTGTCTTCAAGTGAAGACAGACAGCAAACGTTGGTTGCATTGCTCAATCGTAATCCATCATTAGATCTGCACTTAATGGAAGCTGCTAAACTACACATGCTTATGTGTGCAATGGAATTATATGAAGCCAGTTCGGCAGGTCTAGATGTTCCATTGTTTGCTATGTTAATGTTTGCTCGTGATACTTCTGAAACTCCTCGTGATCTCATGAATAACCACTTGAAAAACGTTGGAAATACTGGAGGCTTGGAGCAGGTAGGCCTTCCTTTTCCTTTACTTAAATGTGTTTTCAAGATTTTTCAATGTTCTTTTATATGGTTCAGACTATGATACCATGAAATGTTTCATCTAATTCACATAATTAATCTTTTCTCATAATATAAATTGATCCAGATTTGTATGTGTGTGTGTGTAACTTGTTCATTGAAAAGTTTACCCTTTTTTAAATGTAGTTTGCATTAGAATCCATTAATTAATTTTTAGTTTGTCTGTTATACTGTTCCCATTGAATTGAGCAATCTGTTTTACCATTATACATTCTATTTGCAATTTTCAAACGAAGAACCTGCTAGGGAAAATAGAAAAAAAAATGAAAAGGAAATATACATTGTATTGATATTTTTTTATATTATTTATTTTGTGTTAAAATAGTATGTTTAAGTAAACTACTAATAAAAGGTTTGGCAATATATGCTATTTCCAAAACTACATTTTATCTGATTTTTGAGTATTTAACAAAATTCTTCTGTGTTATCTATTAACTTGGAAAAAATGGAATATTTATTTCAGGGGGATTGATCATAAGCATTTCCAACAGGTATTAGAAACATAAATTTTGTCAACATATTTTTTGATGTCCCTTTACATCGTTAGTATTCCTTAGCTAATTCTACTCAATAAAGTGCTTATAAAACAAAGAGCAGTGAGCTACGGAATGGAGCTTAGCAACAACAATCCGTAACTATATACTAATATGTTGAAGACATAATAAATATGCAGAATTATTAATTGAGTCTTGCAGATACAATTCTGCACAAAAATGCTGCATAATTGACCTAAAATCTACACAAACAAGAAAAGTCAATGGACTTACCCGGAAAAAATAGAAAGTTAAAATTTACTATAGAGAAGATAAAAAATATATAACAGTGTTGATGTTATGGTAAAATACAAATGATTTTGAAAATTACATTTTGAAATGGAATACAGAAAAATGTTAAAGAAATTTAATGAAGAGTATTTTGTAAAGTTTCTTTGAAAATAGATCGTTGTGAATAAGTAAGTTTTTGTAATCATTTCTCACACGATTGTTTTTGTTCAACATTGTTAAACCTTCTTCATTCAATTACAGTTCAATTATTTGTTCTTTATTATTGATTATGATAAACACATGCTTATTCCATAGCAATCAACTATCTAAACAATGAATTAAGAGAGCGTCCATGGCAAAGGCCATTAAAATGCTCAAAAGTTTATTAAAAATAGTTTAGCAGACTTCTGGTTTAGATTTTACCAGAGCTCATCAATTTTTGTATTAATGTTGTTACAGAACTGAATTTTTGGAAATAAATGTAAACAAGATTTAGTTTCACAATTGTTGTCATATAGATATATTAAAGTTGCAATTTTTAACATTCCTCTGAATGTAATTTGAAGCCGTGACATTAATCTTTGTTAGTATAACAAGTAATTGATTCTGAAATGTTTGTCCCCCTTGTCCTTTTTGTCCCATTTCATCCTGTTTGTCCCCCTTGACTCATGTTGTTTCCATTGTTCCATTTTGCCCCCTTGTTCTATTTTATCCCCTTGTTCCATTTCATCCTCTTGTTCCCTTTTGTCTCCCTTATCCCATTTGTCACATTTTGTCTCATGTTGCCCCCATTGTCCCCTTTCCCTTTGTGCATTTGCTTCCATTGTCTAATTTGTCCTCCACGTCCCATTTTGTTTCTTTTTTTCCCTTTTCCAATTTCCACTCGGCTCTGCTGTCACTTCACCTTGCAGTTAACCTCCTGTCTCATCCTTTAAGACCAATTTAGACGACTTTTTTCATAAATTACTATTGTTTATTGCTGCAAGAAGTCAGAAGACATTCATAGACCCTATTCATTATTTGGAAGTCTCTCGGCGTCTTAGTGTAACAATTTTTTTTTCTTTATGCTCTTCTCTTTGTCCCAAAATACTTGCAAATGATCTGCAATTAAAGCAAATTGAGAAAAGAAAGGAAGGGAGGGGAGAAAGCGAAATGTATGGATTACAAGATACGTTTCCCGTTTCACTTCGTAATTGCGATGGTTTCTTCTCTAGGAATAAATGTAATTTGGAAAAGATACAATTGAGGCATTAGACTTGTTCACTTCTGTAGTATAAAACTATATTTTAAGTGTACATTTTGCAAGATATCTATTCTAAGACAGTAATTGTTTAACCAAAGTTGGATAGAAAATTGAAATACAATTAACCCTTTGTGCTCATAAGGCACCTGAGAGATGACATTGAGAAATGTTCCCCTTGGAGGTCACACATGATGTTTCTGCCTTACAGTTTGAATGGCATCTGTTAGACGCCAAACTAATGACACTGTGGCTTGGGGTTCGCACACTAGCTGTATGTTCTGCCAGCTCGGCCATGATTGCTCTTCCTACTACTGGAAAACTTCTTCCTATAATCTTTTTATTTTTCTTTGTATGATGTAAGTTTTAGATTATTGCCTGAGTTGAATTATATACCCAAATATACTGCATTAACCCATTCTGTTGTTTTTAATTTTGAAAAATCTTCATTTTTATAATAAACAGAAGAAAATATGTTGTTTCCCTCATCTCATTCACTAATGAATTATGATACAAAGTGAAGTGAGAAATCAGAATTATAATTTCATATAAACCAATACATCTGGAATAAAATTATCACAAACAAAAAATGTAAACATAACAAAAGTATTAAAAAAATATATGATATCATATTACAGTTTACACAGTTCTTTTTAAACAAAAATACAGAAAGATTTGCAGTGAAAATAAACAAAGTAAAATAGAAAACACATTATGCAAGTTGAAAAAACCTAATTTAATGTAAATTTTTTCTTTGTGTGAAAGGAGTGAAAACACTCTCCTAGGTGCATTACTGGAAAACTGGGGCAAGTTTTACCATACAAATTTGTTGTTTACTTCTGTTACTGCATACTCGACAGTTATGATTGCCCTTTCCTATGTACAATGCATGAAAATTACCATTCAGTTTTCTTATGTCTAACTCACTATCTTGGTCTGTTGAAGTGTGTTTCATCATTTTTGAATTAGGGTTTCTGTCGTCACCCACCAGCTCCAAAATGAGTTCCGTCCTGTACATTCTGGGAACATATACTTTGTTTGGATGATTCAACTTATATAAACTATGAGTTGACGGAAACATCAAGCAATCAAAAAAATTATTTCCTCCATCACTTCGATGTTTTTCTCCCAAAAGTATAAGATGCAGCATAATGGTCCGTCATGTCTACTATACCAATGTAGTTATTGTGTTTGCATACAACTTCGGGTTTTTCAATTTGAGTGTCGACCCACTTTCCATCAATTTTAATTATGCGAGTTATTATTTATGTTTCATTGTCATAACAACTATTTCAAGTCCATAACAATCTTTTATCTTTCCACGCCGTATAGAGTTTCTTGTTCTTCATGGAGATAATTTTTCCTTTTTTCAATCGTTTAAGTTTTTTGTTTTCATTTCTTCTGGAAGCCCCCTTCTTCTCATCATAACTATTTCTGTTAGATGACACCCCAAATTGAGAAGTTCATATGCGAGTTGTGGGCTGGAGTAATATCTGTCTGTGCATCGATTCCTGCCCTTGGAGAATTGATGTACTTTGTGACCAAACGCACAACAATTCTAGCGGTAAAACTGCAAGTCTTGCCTTATTAATGAGTTTGTAGTTTGTGCCCCAAAGTAAGGTTCTAGTGTGTACGCATATCTATTTCTGGAATCTAACAAAACAAATACCTTTACACCCAACATTGTCAGTTTCTCTTTATTGAAAAATTTTAAAAGAAACATGACCTTTGAAACCTACAGTGAATTCATCTAATGAAATCTCGTTATTTGGTACATAAAATTGCTGGAATCGTATTTCAAAATAATACAGTAATTTTTTTATCTTTTTAGTATTGCTTGTAACTGAATTCAGTGGTTTGTTGCTATCCAGAATGTCAATGTGAAGGTTCCAAAAACTTTGTAAAAATCTTTACCTACTGAATACTTATCTGAAAAATGGTTGATGATTTATTCACCTCCCACTAAAATAGTCCTCAATTTCATTCTTTTCATTGAACGCCATGTTCAGAAAGACCCCAAAAATGCCTTCAATTCTGCCTTATCTGTATGTCTCAAAGTTGCCCATGTGCTTATTTTAGTAAACAGCATATTTTTCATTACTTTCTCATCCCTGTATTTATTTGTTTCTTCAACAATACCTTCTAACAAATGATCAGGAAAAAACAGCTGAAAAAACTCTATAGAGGTAGATGGCTGATTATTCTAGTATTTAGTAGGATTTAAATTGAATGGAATTTGTAAAAAACTTGCTGTCTTCATTGGACCATGCAGACCAAGAATCTTCACTCTGCTCACTCTGCTTTACACTAACATCACTGTCCTTGTCATCACTCCAATCACTTTCACAATATTCTATTAACATTTGTTCAATGTCCTCATCTCTTAGTCCAGACATTCTACTCATAAATTTCCAGAACTCACAAACCACACAGTCACTTCTTTCGCTGCTTACCAAGCAACATACTAGATTGCTTCAAGTGACAACAAGGATCATTCTTTCTCACACAATCGATTTCAGAACAATTCATTGTTACATCAATATATCTTAAAAAATACCACAGTAAAAGCGTTGTCATCTTACAGGTGCCTTATAAGTTAAAAGGGGGATAGAATAAGTCATCTAGAAGATGCCTTTTAAGTGCGAGGGCCACAACTAAGTATCCAGCACACGAGTCAAGATACGTAATGGATTTGTCATCCTACCGTAACCTTTTGAGCTACAGCACAAATGGATAGTAAATAGCTCTCATGTGCAAAGTGTTAAATGGAGCACATATACTTTAAATATTTAATACATTTTTTAAATTATTACATAAAAAATCTTTAGTACTGGAGTATCCTCTCCTACATTATTTCAAAAGTGTAGATGAGTTTTGTGGCTCTCACACACAACCAATTTTTATAAATAAGGTCTCTAAGAGAAT